GAGAATGGAGGAGAAGGGATTGCGGCGTGGCCATCCCCCCCGGGGGGGGGGTAATTTCTCACTTTCTGTCTGTCTGTCTCTCTCTGTCTGGTGAATGCACGTGCCCTATAGCAAAAACCTCTCAAAAAAAAAAAAAAAGATTTAATTTTATTTATTCATTCACTTATTTTAATTTGACCAAAGAGAAAAAGTGAGAAAGCAAGCCACCAGGTCCAGGACATCCATGTGGGAGTGTCCAGAGCCTTAACCACCACGCCACCTGCTGGCCTCTCTCCCTCCTTTCAAAAAGGATTACGAGATTTACCCAGACTTTGCCCCGGTTGGTAAAATGGAACAGGAAAAGGGTAGGGATTATTACTGCAATTTAACAGTGAGGCAAATGGCCCATAGAAATTTGGATCAGCTTGGGACTAGCAGTTAGTGTAATGGCTATGTCGCTGGACTCCCATGTAGTTGACCGCGGTTCGCGTCCTGGAGCCGGTGGCTTAAAACTCACGCCGGGCGCATGTGTGTGCGTGCCCAAGATCCCGAGAGGAGAATGGAGGAGAAGGGATTGTGGTGTGGCCATCCCCCTGGGGGGTGATTTCTCGCTTTCCGTCTCTCTGTCTCTCTCTCTCTTTCTGGTGAGCGCATGCGCTCTATAGCTAAAACCTCTCAAGGAAAAAAAAAAAAAAAGAAATTGGGATTGGTCCTTGAAAACTCAGGGCTTTCCAACTGGGCAAGTCATGGAAGCAAATACTGGCCAGGAGCTTCTGCAGATCACATGGGCCCGGGGAAATTAGATCCTTGATTCAGTGAAAACCAGGCAGTAAGTCTCATGAGAAGTGTAATATATTTTCCTACTGTCTTTCCTTCCTTTTTTTTAAGATTTATTTTATTTAACTTTGTGTTTATTTTTATTTTTATTTTTTTGGAGAGGTTTTTGCTATAGGGCGCGTGTGCTAACCTCAGTTGACTACGTGGGAGTCCAGCGACATAGCCATTATGCTAACTGCTGGTTCCCTATTTTTATTTTTTTATTTTTTATTTATTTTATTTTTATTATTTTTATTATTTTAAAGTTTATTTATTTTAATTTTACCAGAAAGAGACAATGTGTGTGTGTGCGCGTGTGTGTGTGTGAAAGAGAGAGAGAGAGAAAGAGAGAGAGAGAAAGTGAAAAAGCAAGCCGCCAGGTCTGGGAGTCAAACTGTGATCAGCCATGTGGGAGTCCAGCGCCCGTAACCTCCACGCCACCTGCTGACCCCCTTACGGTCTTTCTTTAAAAAAATTGTATAGACTATTTTCAGAAGAGTTTCAGATGTATAGGAACATTGAATATATAGTCCGGCGTTCCCATGGTGCATTTGTTATCATTAATGAACGAATATTGATACATTGTTATTAATTCAAGTCCATAGTCTACATTAGGAGTCACTTTTTGTAGTGTACGCTCCATGAATTTCATTATTATCTTTTCTTTTTGGTTTCTGTCATAGAGCATATGCACTCACCAGAGAGAGACAGGGAGAGTGAATGTAAGAAATCACTCCCCAGGGGGTGGCCAGGCCACAATCACTCCTCCTCCATTTTCCTCCTGGGCATACACACACATCGGCTTGGTGTGCTTTTCAATCTGCCAGGTCCAGGACTAGAATCTTGGTTGGCCACGTGGGAGTCCAGCACCTTAACCACCACGCCACCTGCTGACCCCCTTCTTCTTTTTTAATTTCCAGAAGGTGTGTGATTTTTTTCCAGAAAGAGACAGAGCTAGAGAGAAAACACCCCACAAGTCAGGTATGCTTATGCCATCCTCTCTGTCGGATTCTGGGCACACAGCCACATACACCCAGCATGCCCGTCCAAGCCACGAGGCCTGCGACTGAAACCCAGGTCAGCCCTGTAGGGTCCCGCTCCCTTAACCACTAAGCTATGAGGCAGCCATGAGTCTTTCTGTAGACTCTAAACGTTTTAAGGAAGGGCCAGCAGGTGGCGGAGTGGCTAAGGGGCTGGACTCACATGTAGCTGGCTGCATTTGCGGTCTCTAACCTGCTGGCTTGCTTCTTCACTTTCTCTCTTGCTCTCTCTTTCTGTCTTTCCCTCTGGTGAGTGCATGTGCCCTATAGCAATTTTTAAAAAAAACATAATAAATAAAATTAAATATTTATTTAAAGACTTTTTTTTGGATGAAGCCCAACTTTTCATTTTTCATGGATTATGTTCCTCTTGGTATTATTGTCTTTAAAAAGTGACTGCCGATCAAAGGCCTGCTGGGTTTCTCATACGTTATCTTGTGGCCGTTTTCTAATTTTGCCTTTTTAAATTTTTCCTACAAGGCAAATAATGCTCACCAGAGACACGCAGAGGGTGGGAAATCTCACCTAACCTCCACGCTGCCTGCTGGCTGTGTAATTTTGCCTTTTACATTTAACCTATGATCTATTTGGAGTTAATTTTTTTGAAAGCGTTAAGATCTATATTTGGACTCTTTTTTTTGACCTCTGGTCAATGGTGGTAGACTATATTGTGTGGGTTCCTACTGGTTTTTTGTTTATTTATTATTATTATTATTTTTTAGAGATTTTTGTTATAGGGCATGTGCGCTTGCTGGAGAGACAGAGAGAGAGACAGAGGGACAGAAAGTGAGAAATCCCTGGGGGGAGAGGGGGATGGCCACGGTACAATCTCCATTCTCCTCCATTCTCCTCTCGGGATTTTGGGCATGCATGCACATGTGCCTGGTGTGAGTTTTAAGCCACCGAGTCCAGGACTGGAAGGGCAGTTGATTGACTCCACGAGAGAGTCCAGCGATTTAATCGTTATGCCATCTGCTGGTCACATTTTAAACTTTGTTTTACGAGTCTATTTTTAAAATTTAATTTATTATTGTTAGTATCTTAACATTTGCTATAGGGCATGTGCACTCACCAGACACACACACACACACACACACACACACACACACACAGAGTGAAAAAGCAAGCTGCCAGGTCTGGGACTTGAACAGGAGATCAGCCATGTGGGAGTCCAGTGCCTTAACTACCTCCACCCCCCCCCCCCCCCCCCCGGGGGGGATTAGTTTTTCCTTACATTTTGGGGTAGTAGTAATGGGATTACTGATGGCATTTGTTGCAAGCAGTTTCTTTTCTTTTTTTTTGGAGAGGCTTTTGCCATAGGGCACATGTGCTCCCCAGACAGACCGAGACAGAGAAAGCGAGAAATCACCCCCCAGGGGGGATGGCCACGCCACAATCCCTTCTCCTCCATTCTCCTCTCAGGATCTTGGGCATGCACGCACACGTGTCCGGCATGAGTTTTAAGCCACTGGGTGCGGGACACGAACCGCGGTCGCGGTCGCCAACATGGGAGTCCAGCAACATAGCCATTACGCTAACTGCTGGTCCCTGCAAGCAGTTTCTTGTATTCCCCCTAGTCAGTAAGTGAAAATGATTGTTTGCGTCGTATTTACATACACATACAAATACACACACACAGTTAGGTAGCTGTGGAAACCCTTGCAGCTTACCCCTCCCTCCACAATACCTTTATCTCTGCACAATTTCCTTCCTCATTTACACTCTTTACTTGTCTTGTCTACCTTACAGGACTGCACACTTGAAAAATCGCCAGGATGAAAGAAAAGAGTCTAATTTGCCACCTACCTACCACCCAGCTAGCATCGCAGGAGGATTTCTGGCGACTTAATGAAAAACACGGGGAGGGGTGGTGGTGGTGGCGTGTCTTTCTGTGTTAGGCTCACAGTGCCGTGTGTGTGTGTGTGTGTGTGTGTGTGTGTGTGTGTGTGTGTATCCATTTGCTTGCTAATATGAAGTCACAAGGAATTATCTTGACTCTTTCCCAGCCATTAGATCTTTGAGCCTAGTGGGCTATTATCAAACAGGCAAGATGGATTCCGAGCTCACTTTGCATTATTTCCTACCGGAAACCTCCACACCGGGCCCCAGTTTGAAAGTGACGATTTCCACCATTTTCCTATCATCTAGGTGACTGGCATCTACAAAGTCATGGAAACCACACAGAGTCCTTTTAACCGAGTTCAGCTTGAAATTTCCAAGCCGCGAGGGCTAAGCGGGGCCGGCCGGCGACGGGGGAGGGGTGCGGGGTGCGGGGCCGGCCGGCGACGGTGGAGGGGTGCGGGGTGGGGGGTGGGGGAGGTGTCGGTTCTGCTGCGCGGCTACTCGGAAGTGTGCGGTAGCCGAGGGCCGCGTCCCCGTAAAGCCGAGAGCTGTAATGATGTCAACTTGTTATTTACTTTCCAAATCTGAATGACTGAGCAAGGCGAAAGGAGAATCAATCAACCACAATGTGACCCTACAGGCGGAAAAAACGCAGCGCTCCCACCAGCAGGCGGTGGGGGAAGGGAAGCACGTGTAAGCCGGGCTGGGTTGCATCATGAGCTCGCTCGGGTTTTCTATTGCACCCTTCGTTTTTCGATTGCATGTAATACTTCAGCATCAGTCTGCACAAGCCCAGGGAGCCCGGAGCAACGAAGGGCAGGCTCAAGGGAAGGCCCCACCAAGTCCTTTTGGGGGGGCCTTGAATGGCAACTGATACATAATAAGACACAATCTATTCTGCTGATTCACAATTATGGAGACTGTGTAAGTGTGTATCTTTTATTGATGTGCTCTAATGATGGTGTGGCAACAGTCGTTTTACATCATTGACGTTATTTACAGCAATATATTTTGCAGGGTAATTTTTGGGTCCGCCTTTTTGATGGAGGACCGGCCCCTTAAAAACTCACCTCGGGTCTCCCCTCCCCCCAGCAACCAGAACAACAAATGGTCTAGTGTTGAGGAAGGAGCAAGCGAGGTTAGAGTTTAAACTGCTGAGTGTACTGGGCTCTCGCACCCGGCTCATTATATACCAAAAGGAGGGGCCAACCTTATTTTAAAAATATTCAACAGGGCAGACACCAAAGGTGCTGGGGAAGGGGGGAGCGGATATTTGTTTAATTGAATTAAGGCCGCGAGTCGGGGGTGGGGGGAGAAGTCGCCAACGTGGAGGGGAGGAAGGAGCGCCGGGACTCGGGTGTCCCAAGGCTGGGCCGTATAAGCCATTGCAACATAAAACACTTGGCAAATGGCAGAGGTCCGGAGCCTGGGGGTAGGGGGTGCAGGGTGGAGGGTGGAGGGTGTGGGGCGAGGAGGTCCGAGGGCCTGTGTGCGCCCAACTTTCCCTTCCCCAGCCTCCATACCCGAGCTCCTGGCGTCCACCCATGTGCGTGTTTCTCCCAAGCATTTCTGGCCCTTCCCGGGAAGTCTTTTTTGCAAAGGTCGAGCCCCCACTTTCTGGGGTCGGGGGGTACCCTGGAAGCCGCCGGTTTTGAGGGAGCTGCACCCTCGGGCAGGTTGCTGGGGGGCTCTGCTAGGGTTGCTGGGCGGCTTCTTTTTGGAGGTGGGGGAGGGTAACATGAGCTGTGGCCTGCTTCCCCTCCCCCACTGAAGCCGCGGGGGGTGGCCGCGGCGGGGGATGGGGTGAGGATTTTCGTCCCCACCTGGCTGTCGTGGAAAGACCGGATTTGGGATTGGGTAGGGGGTAGGCCCGGGCTCCTCGGATTCTCCCTGGAGGCCACGGGGAAGGGACCGGGGCTTGGAGCTCCGAGGGCGAGGCCTGGCTTCCCCTCACCCACTGGAGGCCTGAGGGTGGAGGGGAGGCCTGGGGGTGAGGGACTGTGTCCGGACGCGGGGCCCCCCCACCGTGGGGGAGGTGCCGGCCCGAGCGTATGTTCCTGGTCCTCAGACTATTGTCCAGGGAGAGGTATCACTTAGTTCCACATAGAGAGGGATACTGTCTAACCCTACCTGCCTACAGTGTACTCCTAACTCTGCATGGTATAGGAGGTACCAGGGTCTTCTTGACTAGATGACATCCCTTCTTCATCTCAGAATGCTTAATCAAGAGTCAATTTGTCCATCCTCCGCCTTCAAGTAATATGAAAGATGGATGGAAAGACCTTACAGTGGCTACTATGAGTCTTTTTTTGCACAGTAGATAAGTGTGATGACATCAGATTAAGAAGTTTCTGTGAGACCCATTAAAACAAAGTTTAATGAGAAAAAAAA